CATTTGACTGAACACATTTTTGGTCTAAAATAAAGATAATTAATCACATCAGTGCAGTTTCTTAACCCTTTCCAGCCGGATTTTGTCGTATGGTAACATTTTTTGCTGTGTTTTATAAATAGCCGCCTGAAAAGGGTTAATCATTTAGTACATACAGATAAACTGGCAACGTCACTTATTTTGTGCTGGATTGAATATCTGTTCGTACATTGACTAGATGAACACTGGCAATAAATCGTGCGTGACAGTCCATTCTTCCCACAATGACATCTTCTGCAATCACTCTTACATGTTCCTTATGTACCACATGTTTGTAACGAACGATCCATGGCAAGAGGCGGTTTTGTTGTCCATTTTATTTTTAAGCAGTTGTCGACCATTTCGTAACCACTGTGGATTAACTCCGGATATTTAATATGGGCATCTAATGCATGCTGCCAAATTTGTATTTGACGACTCACTCGTAAAGAATGGTACAGTAATGCATCACTTGTAGGTGGTAAGGTTGATGCGATATTTTTTTTATTTTGCCTTAATACGTTCATAGCCATAACTGCTCGTAATGCATCGATTGATACCATTTGCTGTTGAATCCTTACATTGGATGACAATTTTGAAGAACGGCTATCACGAGAAAAACAATTGCATATTATTTCTTCTACTGCTTGTATATCCTCTATCGCTGTAGGAAAGTTTTTTAATTTTTCAAGTTCTACATACTGATCATAGTGTTTAAAAAACGTGTTTAACAATGTTAATTTACTAATATTTCTTATATATGAACACGTATCACACCCTGATAAAACATGTACAGTTAATAAAATTTCCAGATTCATAAAAATCAGCTAAAAGGCATCTTTATTTTTTAGTCTATTGTCGGAGTCGAGTCCGGCAATCAGGTCCGAGAATGGATATTTGAAAATCAGCCAAAAGTTATTTTTATTTTTTAGTCTATTGTCGGAGTCGAGTCCGCAATCAGGTCCGAGAATGGATATTTGAAAATCAGCTAAAAGTTATTTTTATTTTTTAGTCTATTGTCGGAGTCGAGTCCGCAATCAGGTCCGAGAATGGATATTTGAAAATCAGCTAAAAAGCATTTTTATTTTTAATCTATTGTCGGAGTCGAGTCCGCAATCAGGTCCGAGAATGGATATTTGAAAATCAGCTAAAAGTTATTTTTATTTTTTAGTCTATTGTCGGAGTCGAGTCCGGCAATCAGGTCGGAGAACGTGTATATAAAAATCAGCTAAAAGTGATTTTAGAATTAGCCTAAATGAACTTGAGAGTAGAAATCAATTTGAAGCAATTTAAAGGACGACATTATTTTAAACTCATTCGAAATAAATTAATTTGAACTAATTTATTTAAAACTAATTTAAATTAATATTTTTTCAAACTAATTGAAGCTAATTTTAGCCCAGAAATTAATTTAAATTAATTTTAACAACTGAAATTGATTTAAATTCATTTATTTCAAATGAGTTTAAATTCATTTGAGCTTCTTAAATTGATGTGAAGTAATTTTTCATCTTTTATTGGGTAAGAAATTAGTTTGATTAATTTGAAATTATTTAAAAGTTCAAATGGGTAGCTAAGCAGCAACGAAAAGAAAGATGACTTAAATTATAAAATCAAGCGTGAATTTGTCAAATGCATGTTTCGTCTGCTGTTCACACGAAGAAAAGAGATTTTCCAATCAGCTTCACGTCCGAAGAACAGTGACAAAAGGCCAGGATACGCTATTGCCGGGTGCAAATACATAAAATTCTGTCCGTCATGTTTTTTTCGTTCTATGACTTGTATTTAGAGAAAAGCAGCATAAAATAATATGGAATGCAGAAAAAGCCCAAAAATCGAAGGATATGTTAGATGCAGGCTCGCGCCTAGCCTTTGCGCCATTCTACCAATGAAAACATGACAGGTGCCTCTATGCACTGTGCGGTGTACGCATTTGAATGGGATTAAAGAAAATGAGTAGGAATCCAGAAAATATTTTCAGCTTTATTTTTTCTTCTTATGATTAATATTTTGACATAAAAATCTTATAGATTTGATCACCGTAATTTTCAAGAAAGTCAAAATGCATTACCATGTCAGAACGATCAGCTGATGCATAACAAATCAGCTGATCGCTTCCAGTAAGTCACCGACCAAGTATGTGGTCTACTGACATAATCTGCTGCACGAATCTGATTTTATTGTGCAATGCACTTCCATAGATATGTCACTACGTCCTCTAAGTCCTTAAAAATTACGGTGAATGAATCGAAAAGAATCTTGTATGTTTAAAAGTCTTTTGAAAAGAGAAACAATACCTAAAAATATCTCGTGGATTCCTTACAACGTCGAACATGCTAATGTGTGGAGATCAACGTTGCCATAGTAATTGTCAACGACATGGGAAAGAGTGCGGTAGTGTAAAAAGCATGCTTTATGTAATTTTTTCGAATTTTAAGCCAAAGTATTAATAAATCTTACCTGCTTCTTGTGTCTAATGATTAAATTTGACAAAATATATTTTATACTTTTGCGAAGAAAAAGAACAAGTTTTCATATCTTTTTGTTCTCTCAAACATGATTAGAATATTGGTATCAGATATAAGTGCAAGTGTCAAGATTATTTATTATGTAATTGTAAATACAAATTTTAGTAAATAAAAACATCCAGAAAAATTATAGTTTGGGAAAAAGAAATGAATTTAATAAGGACAATGAAATACGAAAATATACTTAAAGCCAGAAAAAGCACAGGTTCGTCGCATGGCTAAAATTCAAAGAAACATTTAGCATTCTCATACGCATATTTCGGCGTTAGTGTTATTGCTTACCATTCATCCATCCTAGGTAATGTCGTTCTTAGCAGAGACTCAGGAGGATGTTACGTACTACCAGAAGATATTCTTCTGGTCACATTCTACTTGAGTTGCCTGTGTCAGATTTAATCGATAAATAATTCATCTAAATCATCATCAAGTGCATTTAAAGTTGCATAACGTCTATGCGGTTGCGCTGCCAGATATCGGGAACGATTACTGGATAATTTTCTTTGGTACTGAAATGCAAGCGAAAATGGTCAGAGCAAATGATAGTAGAACAAAACAAGTCTGATCGTTCATAAAACTACTCACATTTGACATGTTTAGTGATTCGTTCAATAAGAGTTTTACCCGTTTTGAACCTCAAAACACCTGGAGGTGTTTGTGAAGACATAAAAGTATTTGCTCGTTTAGTAGCCGCAGGAGTAGAATTGGTAGATAAATTCTTTTGAAGTTCTCGTTCGACAGAATTGACTGAGAAATCATGCTCAAAATCTTCTTCTTCCTCGACGTCACTTTCTTCACGAGAAAAATTCTAAAATTAAAATATATTCTCACAGAATATTCGTTATAGATTTTTAATTATACTATTTAGCACTTACATCATCTAACAGAGTATCACCGTCATTTTCGTCGTCTTCAACGTTTTCTTCATACTATTTAATCCCATCGTCACTGTCAATATCAGAGTCTGCTTGGTCATAAATAGTACAGTAATCATGATCGATCGTATGAGATGAATTGACTGGCATTTGACTGAACACATTTTTGGTCTAAAATAAAGATAATTAATCACATCAGTGCAGTTTCTTAACCCTTTCCAGCCGGATTTTGTCGTATGGTAACATTTTTTGCTGTGTTTTATAAATAGCCGCCCGAAAAGGGTTAATCATTTAGTACATACAGATAAACTGGCAACGTCACTTATTCTGTGCTGGATTGAATATCTGTTCGTACATTGACTAGATGAACACTGGCAATAAATCGTGCGTGACAGTCCATTCTTCTCACAGTGACATCTTCTGCAATCACTCTTACATTTACCACATGTTTGTAACGACTATCCATGGCAAGAGGCGGTTTTGTTGTCCATTTTATTTTTTAGTAGTTATTGACCATTTCATAACCACTGTGGATTAACTCCGGATATTTAATATGGGCATCTAATGCATGCTGCCAAATTTGTATTTGACGACTCCCTCGTAAAGAATGGTACAGTAATGCATCACTTGTAGGTGGTAAGGTTGATGCGATATTTTTTTTATTTTGCCTTAATAAGTTCATAGCCATAACTGCTCGTAATGCATCGATTGATACCATTTGCTGTTGAATCCTTATATTGGATGACAATTTTGAAGAACGACTATCACGAGAAAAACAATTGCATATTAATTCTTCTACTGCTTGTATATCCTCTATCGCTGTAGGAAAGTTTTTTAATTTTTCAAGTTCTACATACTAATCATAGTGTTTAAAAAACGTGTTTAACAATGTTAATTTACTAATATTTCTTATATGAACACGTATCACACCCTGATAAAACATGTACAGTTAATAAAATTTCCGGATTCATAAAAATCAGCTAAAAGGCATTTTTACTTTTTAGTCTATTGTCGTAGTCGAGTGCGGCAATCAGATCCGAGAATGAATATTTAAAAATCAGCTGAAAGTGATTTTAGAATTAGTCTAAATGAACTTGAGAGTAGAAATCAATTTGAAGCAATTTAAAGGACGACATTATTTTAAACTCATTCGAAATAAATTAATTTGAACTAATTTATTTAAAACTAATTTAAATTAATATTTTTTCAAACTAATTGAAGCTAATTTTAGCCCAGAAATTGATGTATTTCATTTATGTATGAGTTTAAGTTCATTTGAGCTTCTTAAATTGATGTGAAGTAATTTTTCATCTTTTATTGGGTAAGAAATTAGTTTGATTAATTTGAAATTATTTAAAAGTTCAAATGGGTAGCTAAGCAGCAACGGAAAGAAAGATGACTTAAATTATAAATCAAGCGTGAATTTGTCAAATGCATGTTTCGTCTGCTGAAGAAAAGAGATTTACCAATCAGCTTCACGTCCGAAGGTCAGTGACAAAAGGCCAGGATACGCTATTGCTGGGTGCAAATACATAAAATTCTGTCCGTCATGTTTTTTTCGTTCTATGACTTGTATTTAGAGAAAAGCAGCATAAAATAATATGGAATGTAGAAAAAGTCCAAAAATCGAAGGATATGTTAAATGCAGGCTCGCGCCTAGCCTTTGCGCCATTCTACCAATGAAAACATGACAGGTGCCTCTATGCACTGTGCGGTGTACGCATTTGAATGGGATTAAAGAAACTGAGTAGGAATCCAGAAAATATTTTCAGCTTTTTTTTTCTTCTTATGATTAATATTTTGACATAAAAATCTTGCAGATTTGATCACCGTAATTTTCAAGAAAGTCAAAATGCATTACCATGTCAGAACGATCAGCTGATGCATAACAAATCAGCTGATCGCTTCCAGTAAGTCACCGACCAAGAAGAGAAAGTAGAAAGAAAAAGGGATATTCTGCTCGAGATTGCGCAATTGAACTAGAAAGTACTGTTCGGTTCTTTCGACAGGATCCGTGTTTTGAACGACGTTGAGTTTTTTCGATCAAAGAGAAGAGCATAAGATCGAAGTTACAGAGAAGCAGCGTAAACCTTTGTTATTTAGAATGTATATGAACTCAATTATTCACGTGACTACGTAGAGATGCCAGAATAATGCATACGG